GACAAAACAAAGGATTCTTCCTATGTGTGGGGTGTTTCTGACAGGAGACTTCTAAACTTAATACCCAGGAGGTGTGTTTTTCTGAAGCTAGTTGTTTTTCATTTGCATCTGTTAACATGTCAAGCAAAAGCTGGCTGCTTTGTCCTGGGGAGTAATGAAAGCAGGGGATTTGGGATGTGCTTGGAGGGGGTCCTTTTGCTCTTTTGAGGTGTGGGTTTATTTTGTAGTCATTGTTGAAGGCAAAGGACCAGTTTAGGCCACTTGTTGTCATTCTGAACTCTTCTTCGTTGAGCCTGTGACATTTCTGTGGAAACTTCTCTGGATAGTGTTTCAAACACTAGTGTGCTCTGCAGTCATTTTCCATGCAGGCAGATGCTTTTAACCAGGACAAAAGGAGTACAATTCTTAAGTATTCAAGCTTTCAGAAGAAGATTGCTATGCAGGAGTCTGACTAAATGATAACCAGTTATCTGCAAATTATTATGTACTGCTCTGTACTCTCATGTATGGGGGAGAAGGGGAGCTAGTAGGATGAGGCTGTTGGCTTTCCAGAAACTCTGGTGACTTCTGTGTCTCTTTTTTTAAAATTTATTTTTCCATTGTTTTAGTGGCTAAAGGAAATCTAGAACATACGAAATACAGGCACTGGAGCCTAAAGTTTCTCTTCAGCTCTGGATTTAAAAATTCATGAACATTTTGCTCACTAAGCACTTCTTCAGCACACCCCTAATTCTAGAGTTTTTTCATGGTTAAGATTGGGTTACAATATTGGCATTGGAAAAATGCCTCGGATTAGTCTATGAATGAGAGGACCCCCTGTACTCCTGTAAGCCTGGCTACTGTATTTCCAGTAAGTGGTGGTGGAGGGAGGCACTGTGAGTGGCCTGACTTGACTCCGGTGAGCTTGGTGCCAGAGCAGTCAGGTGTGCTGCTGCAGCAGGCTGAAGGCCTAGCCTCCTGCTGCTCTGCTCTTGAACTGCTGCTGGGACCTCACCTGGCTAGAAATGAAATGTTTTTTCTCCAATGTGTTCCCTTCATCACTTGTACCTGACACCTTCCCACCTTGTCTCTGCATGTGTCCTTTTCCTGTAAGGTTTTTGAAGAATTGGAGTTGACAGGTAGAGTGCCCATGTGTGAGAATTTCAGACTTGCACAACACAATGACTTAATATATTGAAATGACTAATTTAAACAGCTCTGAACTGAAACAATGTGCCAGTCATTCAGGTTGCTATTTACTGTTAGCGTATTCTGCATTTTGGCTCCTAATTTACACTAACTCTTTAATGTATTCTTAATGAAGTGGTTCACTTAATTTCATGTTTTTCCCCTTCACCTTTCTCTATCGAAAGTATAGCTACCAAGGGAAAAACACATCAGATGCAGAAGGATATATCAGTGCTTTGATGTGTCCTATTGTTTTGGTTATGTTCCATTCCCACTAGCTAGAGGAAATGATTCAAAATGAGGGTAAGAAAAACTTGACATTAGAAATGGGGTGAATATTTTCAAATGAGAGCTAATCTGTTCCCATAGCTTGCTAAGATTTTGTCAGTCCTCTGGTATGAGGAGGTCTTAAACCAGAATATTTTTAGAGATGGTCAGGCTCAATAGCAGATAACTGAGGTCAGGGTTGGAGTATCTGGGCGATGATAGCCAGTGTTATACATGAGGCCAGACTGGATGCTTACAGTAACTGTGGACTTTGACCTGCGTTCATGTTCACAGATCACTGTCAAATAATGGCTTCTTTGCTACTAAAATTTCAGAGGAATGTCTGCAACTGCTGCAAATCATCTCTTCAAGTGTGCTGGGATTCCAAAACTGTCTGGCTTAACCGAGTGTTAACTCTCTTGAAAAATATATCTCTGAAATCTTATATACGGTGTTTTTGTTTCTGTTCTCTAGAGTTGAAACTCTGGGCTTTTTCATTCCTTCTGGCAAATAATTATCAAATACTTATAACAGTATTTCATGCTTGGTAACCAGAGTTTGTTTCCTTTGTTCCTGAATAGCAAAGAAAATTAATGACTACTTGGATTAACATTTTGATGTAGATTCAGAGGTGTTCCTACTGTTCTAATCACCATTGTCCTTTTTGCTTATCAATGCTTGATATAGCATATCTGAGCTTGGAGTGTGGTGGTGGCAAGTGGATTTAGGTGAGAGATCCTGAGATTGCTGAAACTTCCTGGTGCCTTCAAGCAACCACCGATGCCTCAAACATTTTAAAAAAGAGTCTCCAACTTTGGAGAATTAATTAGCCCTCCAAGGCAAATCTTGTGTGGTATAACCAAAAGGAGACCTGATGAAAGAGCATGTTGTTGTTGTTTTAATTTTCTAAAGTTAATTGCATAATGGGAAGAACTCAATCAAGCTTGTGCCTGGCTGCTTAGCAAAGAAACCTGCTGCTGAATGATGAGCGGCTTGTGAGGGATTAGTATGTTCATGGAGCAGAACAATATCAGTGATGATTTGTCCTGCAGTCTTTGCCAAGACACCTAGCAGGAATCCTTGAAGCTGTTGAAAGCAGATAAGCTAAATGTGGTATGAGCACTTGAGTTCTTCCAGAGTCTGTTCTCCATGTTACTACTTCAATATCTTGCAGGAGCTGCAGAAGTGAAGTGGTCTGGGAGTTAGTTGGCAGACTAGTTCAGTTTGGGTTTCATGCGAATTTGCTGGCCTGGAAAGGTATGGTATCCATTATTAAATGGAGTTCTTCTATAACATTGTGGTGGTGACCTAAGAAATAGGTAAGGGAAGGAAATGAGCATGGGTTTTGTAAAAGATGAGGGAGGAGGTAAAGGAGTGGGGCAAGGAAGCAAATGCCAAGCAAGAAGAGGGGACCACATGTCTGAAGTGACAAAAATTCTTTGGGAATGTACTGGCTTTGGAGCAGCTGCTCCTATCCTCCCCAAAAAGAGTGCTGATGCATGCCAGAAGCTGCAAGTTTAAAGTGAGCAGTGCAAAATTCCCTTCCCAGTGCAAAGCTGTGGAGACTGGAACCAATTTAAGAACTGTGGTTCTAATTATGGCCCCATGTCACTTACGCTTTTGATGTCCCAAAAACATGTTGGCTTGATTGTTGGCCCACTTATTACTGCTGTAACCACAGTTACTGGGCAGATAAACTGTGTACTCAGCCTTAATTATTGTCTGTGCCATGGTGGTACCTGACTGATGCTGGATAGGGAGTATAAAAACTTACTGGTACAAATGATGCAGACTTTGACAGGAGAGTAGGGAAGGAAAAAAGCTTCATAGTGGTAGTGGACTGTGTAGCGTGTTTTACCAACGAAGGTAAAAATCATCAGTGGTGCTACTGACTGAGAAGGGGCCAGCAGGTAAATCATTTGCTGTTGTCCAACAGAACTTATTTTTCATTGGTTCTATTTCCCCACAATTTGCAACGTGGAGTTAATGAGTGAGGTGTAGAAGGTGAAAAGTAAATATCTCAGAATGTGCATTCAAGATCAGATAGTATGAGCAGTAAGAAGCAGGGCCTTTCCACTTTTATTGAGTATCTTTGGCAAGATATTGGGGAATTGGCTTGCTCTTGACTTTGTGTTGAGGAAAATTAAAGTAAATTCTTTATCTGTTATTTCAGTCTGGTTAAAACATACAGGGGCAATAGAGTCCAGGCTTTAGAGATGGGCAAACGTAGGTTTCAGGTAATTGGGTTTTCAGCTTAGTCTGCTGTGGAGTTGTGTAGAGATGATAGATGGCTTAACTTTGTGGTTTACTTGGTATAGATTTTTTTTTGTTTGTTTGAAGCTTGTACAAATCAGTAACATCCTGGAAACTATTGCTGATTACGTCTGCAGGCTACACTTGGTTTCCAAGGTATATGCATTTGGGGGCAAGGTGTACAACAAAATAATTACCTTGGGAATGACTCTTTGTCAGGGCAGGGGGAACAGTGTGTCAGTGCTGAAGTATTTGGTTATAAACTGTGCCTCCATAATGTGGCTGTGCCAGGTGATTTCTCTGATAGAGAGACTCTAAATTCTGGTTACATTATTGACATATTGCATGACTGTAGTGGCTTAGTTTTGTGTTTGTGAAGTGAAAATGATGATACTTGCCTCACTGGGACAGCCTGTAGATTAATATTTTGTTAGGTCTCCTCACTGACACTTTACTGGTATGAGTCTTTCTAGTTCTGGTGGGTGCAGCTTTGCCGGCATCTTCCACTAACTTGCCTTGTCAATTCCAAAATCAACTGACAAAACTTGTAACTTGTTTTTGAGACACTTGTTTGAATGGACCATCTGAAACAGTTGTAATAAAGATTATTTAAAAAAAAAAACACAACTAATGTGTACAGCAAACCTGAGGCTTCTGAAATCTACACATTCTGACTAAAATACCTTTATGGACAAATCATCAGCTTACTTTTGAAGATAATTACCAGAGTAACTTCATTTATTTCCAAGTCAATTTTTGTGTTCTTCTGAGTGAGAGGTCTTTTCCATGGCATCATGAAGATTTCAGTTGGGGGCCTGCTCTGTCCTGGATGTTAGAAAATGGGTATTTCTGTAGGGCAGAGTACATAGAATAGTTTGCCCTGTCTGGTTTTCAATGCCTTTGAAAAAAATGTTGAGCTGTAGGACAGGGAAACTACTAAGTTTCTTCTCAGTGCTGTGGTTTCTTTCTGGGATTGTTTGTGTGTTTTAAAGGTATTTAAAAAGTTATTACACGAGTAAGGACTTGCCTGGATTGTGATACAGTAGGTGACCAATAGTAGCCATAATAAAAGTACTCTTATTACATCCATTGTAGATAAACACTTCTGCTCAGGGGTAAAAACTGATTTAAAAAGAAAATTGTTTGGATCCCCGTGCATTGAGGAATATCTGGGGATGGAGCAGGGGTAGGGGAGAAGGTACATGAAAGCTGTTGTTCAGGTGGAACTCTGAAAGTACTCCAGGCTGCCAGCAAAAACTGTTCAGCCTTAAAAAAAAAAAGGCAGAACTGATTTGAGTGGAAAATCCTTACTGATTATTTTGTTTTCTCTTAATCTTGCAGCTGATTGCAATGCCGTTCTTAAAGCTCTACAGCCCATTTTTCAGGAGCAGGGAATGACAGAAACAGTTCATAACTGGGAAGACCATGGTTATTTAGCAACCTACATCAAAAAAAATGGCAGGGGAGGGAATTTTCCTTTTTCTTCCTGTAGCTGATGTCCCCTCTGTCCTCCCTTACAGATATTTCTCCCTGGATTGGATCTCCTTCTGGGGTGCCAGTAGGGCACCTATTCTTTTACCAGCCTTGTGTATGAACTGACTAAAATAAAGCAGAATACTGTTGATAATCTTGTCAATGTCATCTTGCTGTTTGGATATCCGAACAGTTGAATTGGTCAGTCTGGGCTGTATCAATGCAGTGACACTGTATGGTGTCCTGGTCTCAGGGCCAGACTTGCCAGATGCAGGACAGGTCAAGTCAGTTAAATTTATTTAATTCTTATGACAATTGAACATGTCTAAATATGTTCAAGTCTAACCTTAGCATGTGAATAATGAAAACTTTCTGTCCCTGTCTTGTTGTATGTGCTTTTAAATACTTCATTATCCACTTAAAATTCTCAAGCAGCTACTGAAGTAACTAACAGCATGGCAAAGGTGGCTGGTGGCGTTAGTGACACTTGCATAAGCAGAATCTGCTGGGATAAAGTGAATGTGGTTTTGCCTACCAGTTTACTTCCTGAAGTAGCTTTATAGTGTCGGGTTAGTTAATTATGGTATACGTTTATCTGGCCTATTTATTAGTAACTGCTGTAATTTTATTGCACTTCATTTGTTTCCAGTTATTCAATTATTTGTTCTTGACATCCATTGGGGCAGTTGCTGCTTTTGTTCTTTTCGAAATCTGTACTTTTGTGTTCTTCAGGGTTGGAGTTAAGCTAAATAAGCCTTAATTTGTTGCCTGTCTTCTCCTCCTGGGTGTCCTGTTAAGTAGCTCATTTGGCTACACTCCTAACATATGAGAATTGCCTAAGGATTTTAAAGTTCTCTCTGTAATGAGAGAGAGCTGATATTTCTAGAAGGAAAGTCAGATCCTAGGCGAGTGTGTTGCCTGCTGGAATTTATGTCTCAGTATGTTTACTGTGTGTGAATGTATTTGAATGTACAGGTTGGTCTATTTTACATATAAAAGTAGTGTAGACCAACTATGCTGGTAAACTTGGGGCCTGATTTAAGGTAACAAGTAAGCTGACATGAGTCTAGTCCTATGTTTGTATCTTCCACAATCATGCTCCATGAAGTTCTTAGTATATTTCAGTTAGCTTTTCAAATGTGACGCTGGCTTCTTCTGATCAAAATTATTTGTGTTTTATACTAGATGTGCCTAGAAAAACCTGTTACCTGTCTCTTGTTTTTGTACAGTCTTTCTTAGTCTGTCTTTAGTTACCTGTGCTTTTATATTCTTCCTGAATAATTTGATCAAGATTCCAGTTCTGGATAACCTTTTGTTTCTGAGGTCAGTGAAAAGATAGCCAAGTTGGTAATTTACTACTCTGGTGGTATCCTCCCTCTGTATTGGGTTAAGCTTGTATTTAGTTCTCCTAAAAAGATAATATCAATGATACACATACTCTGAACAATTAAAAGGTAAAATATCGAATTAAAGGTTGGCTTTCTTTGATTACATGGCCTCATTTTGCTTTCCTGTGTTTCCTTGTGTTTGAAAGTGACATGATATGAATTCTCAAACTGGCTTTCCCCTTTGCAATCTCATCTGATCATTCCCCTTAAGAAGACTGCCTCTTCTAAAGAAGCAGTTTCCAGAGTTAAATTACCTGTCTTCTGACACGTTCTGGGAACTTTCTAGAACAGTCTTCTGTTGTATAACTTTCCTAGGAGAGAACTGAACTGGCATCTAGAAGCATCACTGAACATCCTTATGAAACTCTAAAAGTATCTAACCTGATTTCTCTTACTACACTGTCAACTGAAAATACTTGTTGTTGCAAAGTCCACTGTCTTTCTCGAGTGTAATATTAATGAATGTTTGAAGGGGAAAAGAGGATGTAAAAGTTGATATGTCTATGTAGGAGAGGTGGGGAGGAATTCATGCAAAAGACAAACCTGCGCACTGGCGTACAGTGCGCTCATGGTAACAGAAGAAAGTTGGTCAAGTTGCTGGTTTCTATGGTAAAGCAGAGCCCCTGTAGGGATATCCTTGTTGCTCTGAGTATAGGCTTGGGAGTTCAGTGTATTGGAGAATGATAAAGAAAATCTACCTCCAGTCAGTTTTTAATGCTTTTCAAACTGTCCTCAAGTAGATGGAGTGGGTGGGCGGGGGGGGGGGGGGGAAGTGGGGAGAGCAGGATGCATTTTCCTGAAAGCCATGTGTAACAGATGAGCTTCAGCAATTGCTGAGCATTCATACTGGTTTCTAAATGGGTTCTTTCGTGTGTGTTTTACTGTTGTTGATCTTGTGCTTTTCAGCAGCATGAGACTTTGAATCATCCAGCTTTTCACTATGCTGCTAAATACAGCTTAAGCTTTTGCACCAGAGGATAGCTCACGGTATTCTTACTGCTGTGAGAAGATGGAGACAGGGAGGTGGGCCTAGTGGTCTCCCTGCAGGGAAAGAAGGGAGGGTCTGTTATGTTGGGTCTTGGTTCTAGATGCCTCTTGCCACTGTTTACTGTGCTAAGTAAAAGAGCTGGGGAGCAAGGGCAATCACTCAGAGATCTGTACTGCTGCAGGCTGCCAGCTTACTTCCTGGATTTCTTCTTTAGGGCTACACCAAGTTGATCAGCTGGCAGGGTCTTGGGTTGGTTTGTTCTGGAGTCCTCTCCCAAAAGGCAATGTCAGTGAGGCTGCACAGTTTGGGCTGCTTCTGCTCTCAGGCAGTTTTATCAAGTAATCAAGTAGCTGCACTTTTCTCTCATACTACCCTCATGCCATGCTCCAGAGCATGCAATGCATACGGTCAGCTTGATGTAAACTACTTCCTTGGTGACTGCAGCAGAGCCCTTATGTCATTTCAGGTGCTTTGATATGGCAGTTGGTGGGTTGAGGGAGAAACCTCACTTTCTTGGGGCCACAGGAATACCATGTGGGCCACAGGCAGAGCTGGGGCTAAGTGGTATAAGCATGGATGTGATCTGCTGGTTCTCAGGGGACGTTCAGCTGCTTGAGCATTCCAGGCTGAATGCAACAAATTTAGTCAAGTATTGGTTATCTGTTTAATAGCATCATATGCTAGACATCTTAGACTAGCGCTGTTCATCTTTTCAACTCAGTGAGAAATATAGAATCGTTAAGGTTGGAAAAGACCCTTAAGATTGAGTCCAACCGTTAACCTATCACTGCCAAGTCCACCACTAAACCATGTCCTCAAGCACCAATTATGTCTTCCTTTCTTTTAAATACCTCCAGGGATGGAGACTCAACCACTTCTCTGGGTAGCCTGTTCCAATGCCTGACTACCCTTTCAGTGAAGAAGTTTTTTCTAATATCCAACCTAATATGATAGGATACGAGTTGGATATGAGCTTCAAGAAAAAAATGTGGACTTAAGATGCTCTAAATACTGAGGCATCCAGGTAAGACATGGGCTTTCTACTACTGCAGGACCATTTTTGCCTTTCCTGATTTGCATAGGCTGATTGATTTGCTCTATTACTCTCTATTTGACATGGGTTTTTTATCAGTCAGTTGTAGAAGTCTCCCCTTCTCCCTGTAAACATGCAGGTGCTGCAACCTTGCTTTCCTTGTTCCCCCACGTGTGCTGTGTTTCACTGTCTGCCTCACTAATCCAGCTGTGAATGGGCTCCCAACAGAAATGTGGTTAAATGTCAAAGTTTTAGTTGAGCTTGGTTTTAATATCAAATTACTGTTGTCAGCTTAATGTTAAATTATGTACAAGTGTTGTCAGCTCAAAATTACATTTGCTAATGAAGACTCTTAATCCTTATGAAATAAGTTCTCAAAGTTCTAATATAATAGAGGTCTGGAAATAGTTGAGCTTCTAAGCAAAGCTATCCAGGAGAGCATACTAAACATAAGGAATTGCAGTTTGTCATACAGCCTCAGAACTGAAGAATGAAGAACAAGAGTGCATGGAAGAGCTGAATATTGAGGAGATTGCTCACTCTGCAAGTGGCAATTTTTTTTTTTGGTGCAGTGTTAAATGTAAATTAATAACGAATGGTTGTTGCTTTCTCTTGGTATATATTGCCGTCTGAACTCCAGTGCATATTGGATTTATCTTCCCTGGAAATTACTCACTTTAACTGACGCTGTTACAGGCAATGTTGTCTGCCTAAGTGCTTTTTGGTGCTTTGCCAGCCCCATCAAACACTGAATTGGGGAACATAGCATGTGCAGGAGAAGTTTCTGTGAGTTTTGGAACCTCAGCAGTTTTGTTTTCTTGAATTTTCAGATCACTTAAACTGCATATACTTTTTAAGGTAGCCTTAAACAGCATATTTCTGTTAATGTTGGTTGATGTCATTTCAGTTAACTGAAACAAATAAGGGTGTGAACACTTAAAAACCAATAGACTGGACAGTTAAAAAACCCTGCAAACCAGAAACGAACATTTCATGAGTGGTAAGAATGAACTGGTGAACATACAGAGGCTTTGATACTAACTAAACAGGCTTTATCTTAATACTACCAATTTTATGTCTGCATTTTATTTGGGAGACCTAAAATATCATCACATTCTTATGCTAATTAAAAAGTATCTGATTCAAGTAGGAAAAGTGTGCATGCCCTGACTAATTTCTTCCTCTTCCTTCCACGTGTAAGTAGTGTACTTCTGCTTTTTACTATCAGCTATTTCATTTCCAGAAAAAAAATTGTGATGGGGTAGGTATGTCACAAGCGGTTTCCTGTGAGGATGGGTGGGTGTTACTGGGCACAAAAGTTCCCCAGGGTGAAAGATGTGTGAGTTGGTGCTGTATGTGAGTAGGGGTTTTGTGAGTATGTACATACAAACACGGTTTTTTTAACCAAGGAAAGGTGACTGAGCCATTGCAAGACAAAGATGTGCAGCTCGTGTAACAAGCTGGGTACTAATCCCAGGAAAAAAGTTTGACAGCGTCTACACTCCAAAGTCTGCAGAGATAATCCTTGTAGCTACAGATTGAATTGTGGGCACTGCTGTTGACAAAACTTTGTCTC